ATATATATATATATATATGTTTTATAAAAAATAAAATTATAAAAAAAAATTCTATCTCTAAATACAGTTACATTTGGAAGTACTGGAGATTAGGACTTTGACATATGAATTTTGGATACCACTCAGCCTGTAACACCAACTACATCTATTCATCTATAAGTTTATAAAACTTTTGGTTTATTCAATTATCAGTTTGCAATGTTCATTGTTAGCTTTGTGCAAATACTGTTTATTGAAGAGTATAGGAAGGTACCATAATTATATTTCCTTTTTAACTTTTTCCTGATGTTAATAATTGTCCCCAATCATTAATTCAATTGATAACCCATGTACCTATCATTAAATTTTTTCTCAAATACTTTATCAGATCTACCTGTATTAACATGATTTTTTATGTAGTTGAAAGTATATTTTAAAAATCCCCAAACACTATTCCACCAGCCTGCTTCTCCTGAAATGTCATTCTTTAAACCCATGAGGTAGCTGTCATCCCTCCTTTGGGTTCTTTCTTTGGCTCCAGGTTTTCCTTTCTCTTCATTTCTTATTTTTTCTGGAACACATCAGCAGTAGCTTTCAGGAAAAAGTATGAGATATAACTTTTTAGGCTTCCTGCATGAATTAAAATATATTTTATACACACACGATTGATAGTTTGTGGGCATAGTGTTCTAGATTGAGAATAGTTATTCCTGAGATGTTTGAAGGCATAGACCATTCATGTCTACAAGATTTTTTAATTTAGATTTATTTATTTATTTTAGAGAGTGAGCAAGAGTATGGTAGGTGGGAGGGCAAAGGGAGAGGGAGTGGGAGAGAGAGCACCCTCAAGCAGACTCCTGACTGAGTGTGGGACTCGATCTCCCAATCCTAAGATCATGACCTGAACTGAAACCAAGAGTTGGACACTCAACTGACTGAGCCACCTAAGCGCCCCAACTACAAGATTTCAATATGGTTATAGTATATGTCTGTTTATAGTCTCTCTGGAAGTTTTAGAGTCTTTGTTTTATTCTTGAAATTCTGAAATTATACAATGATACACCTTGTACTGAGTCTTTCTTCACTTGTTTTAGGCTGTTGGTGGTCTTTTACTTTTCAGCTTATTTTTCAGTTTTGGGAATTTCCTTATCCCATTGAAACTTTTCCCCTGTTTTTTTGTGTTCTCTCTCTATAACTTCTGTCATTCAAATGTGGGACCACCTGGTATATATGATCTTCTAATTTTCTTTTCTTTCCTATTTCCCATCTCTGTTTCCATCTTCTACCTTCAGAGAGATTTTTACCTCTCACAAAAATTGTTTGAAATGTGTGTCTCCTTTAATGGCTTTGAGTAGCTTTTAAGAAGTCCAGGTTTCTTTAATGATCGACCCCTGACTGTACCTCTTTCTTTATAGTTTGCACCTTCCCTTCATTTTTCTATGATCTTCTTTGAATGTCTTTCTCCATGTTTGTCACACTGTATTGCTGGTTCTACTCAATTATCTCTTTGCTTTTCTTGTCCACATCCTAATCCCCAGAACCTGTGAATGCCTTATCTTAGGTGACAAAAGGGACTTTGCAGATGTGATTAAAGTAAGGATATTGAGATGGAGAAATTAACCTGGATTATCCAGGGGACCCAATGTCATTGAAAGGATCCTTATCATCGAAAGAGAGACACAAGAGAGTCAGAGATGTGATGATGGACACAGAGCTCAGAATGATGCCATTGCTGGTGTTACACGTGGAGGGGCCACCAATTCAATGAATGCGGGAAGCCTCTAGAAACCAGAAAGGACAAGAAATGGATTCTTCTCTAGAGCCTTCAGAAGGAATAGAGCCCTGTGGCACCTTAATTTTAGCCCCATGAGACCTATTTTGGACTTCTGACTTCCAGAACTGTTAAGATGTTAAATGTATGCTGTTTTAAACTACCAAGTTTGTGGGAATTTGTTGCAAAACGTGCTGCAGATTTGTGGCAAATAAATACAAAGGCAAAGTTCACTGAAGCTGGGGGAGGGGAACATAGATACAGTAAAAACATCTGAGGGGGGATCCTGGTGGGCGCCCAATATTTTCTGCTCTCTTCAAATCAGAAAACTAAATTAGATGGCTAGAACTTCAAACCACTAGTCAACAAATAAGTTGACTATCAAATTAGGGAAGTGTGGCATAGTGATCAAGCCACGGGACCTGCGGTTTGATGCCCGTTGGTTAAAATCTGGCTTTGGGCACTTAAAAGCTCTGTATAACCTTGGCATGTTACATAAGCCTTTTGGATCCTTAATGCCTCATCTGTAAAATGGGGGAAACCCAAGAGCTATTCTAAGGATTAGATGAATATGTCCTTAAAGCACTTGACACACAGTAAAATCTCAATGCAGATTTTATTGGTAGCCAGTGGGATCCCCTCTTTCTCTGTCCAACTGTTCACATTCTAAAGACAGCAAAGGTGGGAATCACACTTGGTGAAAATTAGGGATTAAAAATCACTTGATTTGCCCAGGGGTACAGTATGCAGGGCTTTGTGCTTGCAATCTTGTAAATAATATGTACATATGAGAATTTACTTGTCGTCACAGTGGGAATTATATAATACTGAGTCCAAGGGCAGAACATATGTTCCAGCATTTAAAATTACTTAGAAGAGAGTTGCTGAATATTGTATGGCGGGGGGGTCCTCTGTACATCTATGTTTTAGCATTTTTGAAATCTATGGTTTATTCAAAAGATAAACCAAATTCACCTTCACTGGAATTTGCTCTCCTCCTGAGATCTTTGTTAAGCCCAGCAATGTCACCCATTAGAGTTGTGCCTGTCTTTCTTCCCAAGGTGATCTGGGTGGTATTTTCCCAGCCTTTTGATATGCTAAGCAGCCATACCTGGGGAGAGTTTAATAAACAACCATTAAGTTGCTATTAGAAGTGTCAGGACTGGTATAACTAGTCATTCTGTAATAATTACTGAGGTTCGGCTGTAACTACAGAGCCACTTAGTTTCAGATCAGCTTCAGCTGAATCTAGAAATGGGCCCTATGGACCCTTTCTGGCATCCAGGTAGGCAATTACCTAGGGTCTTTCATTCATCTCTGTCAGAGAACAGCAGCTAAACTCACATCGGCTCATGTGGAGACCTTGAAACAGCTCGTCAAGGATGCCAGAGCAATTGATTCAGACTTTGGGGTAGGAACCATCCAGAAGTGGTATATCTGTGATCCCCTCTGCCCTCCCTTTCTCCCCAGGTCCCACAACTCAGAGCTAGCAGGACTTTTTTCTGCATTCTAGGGCAGTCTCTGGTTTGGGCTGCATCTCTTTTAAATCACCCCAGCTCTCCACTCCAGCCCTGGGAATGGTGGCAGAGAAGGGGTGGCAGCCAGGGAAGGGGGGGGACCTTGGCTGGGCTGGAGCTGTCCTGGGAGGAAGGGACTGGGTGTGGCAGAACTTGGTTTGCTCTGAGGCCGTGCCAGCTCCTGGAAATGCTGGAAATCCTCCCTAAGGAGGACCCGTTAAAACAACAACAAAAGACATCAAATCAAGCCTTAGAGGGTTATTTTAAGGCCAAGGGGAAAGTAGCAAGCTGGAGAAAGGAGGGAGGAAGCAGTGGAAAGCCAACCACTGCCTCCTCATTTTTCAGCCACACAGCCCTCCAACTAAGCTTTCCCTACTTCCATCCAGCTGCTCTGGAGCCTGGGCCTCCCCCCAGCCCTCTGCCCGCCCCACCCTGTTCGCCAGATGAACTGCCCTGTCTGGGCCTTGCCTTAGGCGGGGCCTCTCAGGGATAGAGCTGTGTTTGTCTCCTCTGTGTGTTGAACTTGGCAGGTGCAGGCGCATCTCATTCCAAGTCAAACTACCACCTTTCAAAAGAGAAGTCCAGGCCTGGAATCCACAGCTCTGGGTGGGCCCTGTGTACCACCACCAAGGCTGTCCTTCTGCCCCGCCCATGCCAGGCCTGCCTCCGGTAATGACTGAGAAGGGAAAAAGCAGCCACTCAGGGCTGGAGGTAGTCGGAGGCAGCTGGAGGGCTGTTGGTGTAGGAATGAGGGCAGCTTCACAGCCGAAGGTTCAAGCAGCCCTGCAGAGCCCACTGTTGCTTTGGACCAGTGAACAGTTATTGGCCATGTTGATGCCACCTGGGTGCCTACCTAAGGGTGCAGAGCCAGCCCAAGGATGAAGTCCTGTTTTTCAAGAACTAGCCTTCTTCTAGAAAAGCTCTGGAAAGACTGAGTCCATTCAGGAAGTTTTTCTCCCTTTGCCTTGCTATCATGGAATCTGTTGCTCCCACAGAGACCGGCTGCCCTCCAAGGACCAGGAAGAGCAGCCTGTGGATCAGAGGGGCAGAGAGATCTCCAGCCTCAGTTTCTCATTTGAGAATTGTTGCCAGACAGTGAGATCCCTTGTCCACTTTACCAGGGTTCATGAACTCCCTGATAGTTCATCTAGGTGCCCGTGTGTTAGCTACGTGACTCGGGCTAGAGACAGTCTTCTACTCAATGGGGATCTCATCTACCCAGTAAGTGTTGTGACGATTAAAGAACATGTGGAAAAGTGCTTACTTGGCTGTTATTCTAATCAGGCTCTGGGCAGATGTCACAGCATTTTCACAGACGGCTTCTCACTTAGCTTCATAATATCTCCATGAGGTGGGGACAGTAGGAGTGGGGTGAGAGGAATTACATTTTCTTTTAAAGTTTGAAAAGCTTTGCCAGTTGAATGATGGCCTTGGCAGGCCCACATCTGGCATGGAGTAAATGACCCCAGCAGTATTTCTGCCCATATGGGTTTTTCTTTCTTCTCTTTTTTTAGTTAGCAAACTTGTCATGAAACAAAGAACTTCAAGACAAGTAGATAGTGTTGAACATTCCAAGACCCATGAGGGCCACCAAAGATGGGTAATCTGGTACAGGAAAACCATGCATCATCTTAACATCTAAAGTCTGTCCAGTAGGAACTTCATGTGAGTCACCCGTGGAATTTAAATTGTCTTGTAGCCACACTGGAAAACTTTTTAAAAGGTGAAATTAATTTTAGTAGTATATGTTTTTAACCTCTGTGTATTAAACATTTCCATTTCAACACGTATTCTAAAAATTATTGTTGAGATACCTTATATTCATTCATTCGTTCATTTGTTATAAATATTCATTATAAATAAATATTTATCTATATTTGAAGCCCAGTGTGTATTTTACATTAACAGCATGTCTCAATTCTACCCTTAAAAAATCATGGGAAGCTCTTGATCTGTATTTCAATTTCAGAACTTTATAGTTCTAAATAGCTTCACCTACTCAAGTCATTACAAGTATACTAAAATTTTTCCAGTAATGGAACTGAGTACCAGATTTTAAATACAAATTTAAATTAATTAAAATCAAATAAAACAAAACTTCAGTTTCTTGTTCACACTGAGCACCATTTCAAGTGCTCAACAGCCACATAGAGCTTGCAGCTGTCACCTAGGAAAGTCCAGGGGAAGTTTCTACTAGGACATTTTCTTGTTGACTTGTGATTTCCATACTTGGAATTTTCTTCACTGACTTTCTTTGCAGTGATGTTTTAAGTCATTTGCCTATTTTACAAGTATTTAGAACTACATAATACACTCTGTCTATCCATTTACCTGGCCACATTGCAGGACAGGACAAATGATCAAGGGGTTCTACTGGTGACTTCTTTGCATTGTGAAGAAATTGAGCCATAGAGCCCCCATGACATAGGACTCTCTGAGGGAGGGCCCCAGTGTCAACCCGCATATTAAATAGTTTAAAATCTGAATTTCTGCCCTTTTTTGACGGAGGAAAAAAATAAACAGAAATGACAGCTCTAACATTGTCTTCCTACACCCTTATAGATCACTTTTGTGCACCATGCTTGGAAGACCAGGCTTGGAGCACCACTGTTGTGGTCTCATCCTTCCCCCAAGCTCAGGCATAAGCTCTGATCCTGGACTTTCAAGATACGGGTGATGTTTATTTCCCTTCTGGTCTCCCCTCCTGCTCCCAGAGCTCCTCGATCCTGTTTTGTTTTGTTTTTTTAAACATATGTAATTACATTCATTTAGAGACTTGATTAAATACCACTTTGTCCTTCAAAACCAAAACCAAAACCAATAGAATGATCTCCAACAAAAGTCATAAAGAAATGGCCAAATCTTTAGAATTTGACCTAGTTTTGTTCTTTGGGGACAAACTGTGCACTTTTTTCCTCTTACTCACACTTGGCTAAATTTTTGGCATACTATAATGGGACAACATCATGGAAATCTGTGCTTATATTTCCAGGATTTTCAGTGCTATGCTTTTCTCCAACCTCACTATATTTTCAGAAATAGAAGTGCTCTCTTATTTACGTGTGGGTTATGTATTGTTTTATTTGTTGGAGATTTTGGAGGCTAGACAATGTCTTTGCTTATCAGCTTCATCTTGGCTGGGTTCTGCGTGGTGGTCTATTTCTTCTTCTCTTTTTCTTTTTCTTTTTTTTTTTTTTTTGAGTATCCCTCCTCACTCCTTTATTTTTCTTTCTTCAACTATTTTGCTACTTCAATTGTCTGAGGTAGAATTTTTGGAGTCCTTGGCTTTTTGTGGACCCAAGTTTGACTCTTATGACCCATGCAGGAGGAATTGCATATTTGGTGCTTTTCTTCTCCCCTGCTTTCCTTGAGGAGGATCCAGATAAAATTCTCTGAGGGAATGAAAGGATTCTTGGCAAACTATAGGGACTTTCTTCCTCTCTTTTGCTTTGAAGTATATAAGCAAAGTATTCCAGAGCCCTCAAATGTTGTTTTCCATTAGTGCCTCATGGAGACTACATTTTACTGGGGGAAAATATGGTACGTTCCTATCCAAATTCACTCAGGCTTCTGGCATATGGGTGGCCTTTACATGGCTGTGCTGGGGTCTGCTCAGGGGTTGAGGCCCCCCCTTGCTGGTTATCATAACCTATAGGACTCGTTTCTGGTTTCCTTGATCAGTTTTTACAAAAAAGATTTCATTCATTTACTTGAGAGAGAAAGAGCGTGCACGCAAGATTGAGGGGGTGGGATAGAGATAGAAGAGCAAGCAGACGCCCTGCTCAGCGGGGAGCCCATTGCAGGATTTGACTCCAAGACTCTGAGATCATGACCTGAGCTGAAGTCAGATGCTTCATGGACTGAGCCACCCAGATGCCCCAATTAGTTTTATGACAAGAAATTCTGGGGTGCCTGGGTGGCTCAGTGGGTTAAAGCCTCAGCCTTCAGCTCGAGTCATGATCCCAGGGTGCTGGAATCGAGCCCCACCTCGGGCTCTCTGCTCAGCGGGGAGATTGCTTCCCCCTCTCTCTCTCTGCCTGCCTCTCTACCTACTTGTGATTTCTGTCTGTCAAATAAATAAATAAAATCTTAAAAAAAAAAAGAAATTCTAACATCATATTATAACTTCTCATTTCTTCTACTTCTTTTCCCATTGTAGTTCTTCAATTTCAAATATAATTACTTCTTTAGTACCAGCTCCAGCCTTGTCTTCCCAGGGAAGAAACCCCAACTGGGAGTGGCTGGTCTCCACTTGGCTTGTTCAGAATGTCTCCCTTATAAACCTTTGTGCAGGGCTGAGATTTGCACATATCTCTACGCATAAAGACATCTCTCAGACATGGCAGGTGACTTTGGGTTTCCTATGACCTTCACCTGCCCTCCGAGATTCCTGTTGACAAGAGGCAGGAAACCAGCAGAGCAGGAAGTTGTGGCCAGGGCCAGGGAGTGGGCACCTAGATTTCCAACAGCCATGCATCAACCTCCTGTCTGCTTTGTAAATGGTTTTTATTAATGATGTTAGTATTTTTTTTTTAATTTATTTGTTTGAGAAAACAAGAGATAGAGAACACAAGCAGGGTGTGGTAGTGGTGGGAGGGATAAAGGGAGAGGGAGAAGCAGACACCCCGCTGAACAGGGAGCCTGCAGATCTTGATCCCAGGATCCTGGGATCATGACCTGAGCCAAAGGCAGACAACCAACTGAGCCACACAGCTGCCCATGTTAGTAGTTTCAAACAGCTACCTTTTTATTTTCAAATCAAGGCTACTACTGATTTTGTTTTGTTGTTGTTGTTATTCTTTTTCTACCTTTTTTTTTTCTTTTTCTAGCTTCTTGACTGCCTCCTTCACTTTTTTAATCTTGCATGTGTCCCATTTAAGGACTCTTTGCTTACCCAAGGTTGTAAATGTCATATCAAAAAGATAAATCGCTGTGTATCCTCTAGAATATTTATCATTTTTGCTTTCATATTTTGGTCTGTGAACCATCTTAAAACACTTTTTAGTGTAATGTGAGTTAGGGGTTGCATGGTTAGTCAACTCATTCAGCAACATTTATTAGAAAGTAATTCTTTTCCCACTGAATTGAATGAGTCACTTGATGGTTTGTGTGTGAGCCTGTTGAAAGACTCCCTTTTAAAGAGTCTATCTAAAAATTTTTCTAATTAACATATAATGTATTATTTGTTTCAGGGGTACAGATCTGTGAATCATCAGTCTTACACAATTCACAGCACTCACCATAGCACATACCCTCCCCAATGTCTATCATCCAGCCACTCTATCTCTCCCCTAACTCCCAGCAGCCCTCAGTTTGTTTCCTGAGATTAAGAGTCTCTTATAATTTGTCTTCCTTCCTGGTCCCATCTTGTTTCATTTCTCCCTCCCTTCCCCTTCCAACCCCTCACCCCGCCTCTCAAATTCCTCATATCAGAGAGATCATATGATAATTATCTTTCTCTGATTGACTTATTTTGCTTAGCATAATACCTTCTAGTTCCATCCATGTTGTTGCAAATGGCAAGATTTCAGGTTCTTTGGTGGCTGCATAGTATTCCATTGTATACATATGTAACATCATCTTTATCCATTCATCTGTTGATGGACATCTAGGTTCTTTCCATAGTTTCCCTATTGCGGACATTGCTGCTATAAACATTTGGATACACGTGCC